TAAATTGATATTGGATTATTATTGTTGGATATGTGTGAAATTACATGTGTTGACATATCAACTGTTTTACATGCTTGAATGAATAAATCAAATCAAATCAAATCAAATCAAATAATATTGCTTTGTACCGAGCTGAGAAGAGACAGGAAGGAAAAACCTGAACAAAGTGGGACTAAGTAAGTACTGAAATGCAGGGGTCACTGATTAATTTGCTGATAATTTTTTTGCTACAGCTACCACCTAAACAAAAATTGTACCTTAGTGAAAAAAAGATTTGAATTATATTTTATTCTTCTCATTTAACATATCTCATGGAAAATTTTGCCATTTTATAGGATTTTCTTCCATATTAAGAGAGTACGAGACAAATAGTGAGACAGGTACAGAGAGGATGTCAGCGAGCTGGCTGTCAAAGCCAAGTGCATCACAGCAAAAGCAGAGTAGAAGGAAAAGACCAGAGACAGAAGGGAAGAGGACGAGTCTGAGAGGCCCTCAGCTCAACTTGACTCGGTCATGGGTAATGATTTGATTATCGCCACATGAACAGCTGCCATCTTATGTAACACACACACAAAAGCCTAAAAATAACAAGAGGTCTACATTCTGGCCAAAAACCTACCCTGAGCAAAGGTGGCCTGTAGCACCAGAGGAATGAGAGTCCACCTCAGGGAAATCTCAAACTGGATTGGCCTGGTCTTTTCCTAAACAGCGGACCAAAGCAAATACTATGGGAGTACATCCCCGCCAAAACATTTGAGGGTGTACCACATTTCATGCGCTATATGTATTTTGCAACTCAACATTTGAGAGCACAGATTCCTAAGAGCAGATTCAAATCATATGTTACCTTCATGATTTTGTCCTCCCTCACTCTCAGATCTAAATCTATACATACTAATCTGTGGCTGCATGCTCTTAAGTAGTGCTGGAGATGTGGTTCATGTGCCTCAAATGTTTTGGAGATGTACTTCCATAAAATACATCAAGTGGAGCAATCTGAGATTTGCAGCACTACTCTAATATTTTTTAAGTAGTGCACTTTTGGATGTATCAGTAAACTTTACTTTCATGCATAATGAAGCATAATGAATGTTTTATTTTCCTGATGGACTAAGACATGGCTGCCGCCAACGCTGACCTGAAGTTTCACCCTTCAGTCGTGAATAATGGAGTGAAATACCTGTGCGGTAAACAGCGTACTGTGTGCAGGTCCTGTGTTCCCCGCCAACTTCTGAAAGGCACCGCTCGCTGTTTCAGAGACAGTTCTTTCAAAAACACACACAGTTGAAAGTGTTAATAATTTATGGCACAGAGCAGGAGGTACAGAAATTGTTGTATTATGAATGGTGGTGTATGTGTTGTATATTCTGTATGTAGAACAAGAAAAGATATGTTTGACAAGTGTTTTTAATTTATCAGTAAGGCGGCAAAGGCAAAACCCAGTTAGTTCACCCAGCTGCTTATTTTACAGTCAGAGCTAACAGGACTACAGGCAGAAATGCATACTGTACCTTATTCTAACTAAAAGCCAAGTTTTAGCAAAAACTGACCAGCAGAAGGAGAGTTTAACGTCACCTCAAAAATACCTTGCAAACATTTTCTGATATTAACCTAATTTTAGGAAATTGTTGATCAGTCCCTTGCTGTCATACAAGCACATTAACACACTTAAGCAGTCCACAGGGTCCTAGCACAAATAGCTACAACAGCAGGCGTGCAGGGGCAGCTATGGCTCAGGGGGTGGAGTGGTCGTCTCCCAATTGGAAGGTTGGTAGTTTGATTCCCTGTCTCCTCGGTCCACAAGTGTCCTTGGGCAAGTTGGCTACAGCATTTATACATGGGGACAAGTGGTAATACACATGAAATATATTTTTACATGCAAATTATAATAATTTTTTTTTAATGCTTGGTGTCCCTGCGTGCCTCT